ACATTGCAAAAGCCAAGCAGTTTTGGATGGCGATCCAAAAATATTCAATGTGTGAAGGAGTTTGCCAACTTTTGTAGACAAAATACGAAAATGTCCATTTCAGTGACTTTTTGGAGAATTCACAAATAAAGGAAAGATGCACTTCTGACTATTTCGGTAACGCTGATTTCGTTAAGGAATATAGTCAAATGTCTGTATCTCATATAGATGCGTTTCAGTCAAAAACCAAAAATAAATGTTAATCTTTTGCCACTTCTGAGAGGTTATAGGTCTTTGGGAAATATTGGTTCCAGATCTAGGAAGACCATTTAAGTACAACATTTACCAATAAATTGGAAATGAGCAAATTAGTTTAAGTTGATATTATTCGAAAATTAGAGAACGAAACCTGATGTTTTTCTTTTATAATTTGTCACAATATCTTGTGGAATTCTTTCGAGTATCTCGCCTATATAAACTGTATCGTTTATTATAGTGTTGTAGGGTATTCAACGGTCGGCCCCGCTCGACTGTAGCCTTTGCTTACTTGTTTTCAACTAACGTGAATTTTTTAAGAACACATTTCAAAGGCCATCAGACCCATAAATGTGGATACTTTACAGAATATTTTTAAGGTAAAATGCAGATTTCTTTTAAAAAATATTTTTTCAAGAACAAATTTGGGTATTTTTTGAGAAAATTTTCAAAGACCATCAGACCACTACGAGCAAGCGTTGATTTTTAGAAATATATTAAACCTTTTTATGGAAATTATTACAAATATTATTTAAAGGTTGTCCAGGACAAATTAGGGATCATCAGATCTACAAATTTAGTTTATTTTATGAATATTGTTTTCAGAACCATTAGACCGGTAAAAGCAATTTTTTTAGAAAACTTTTGAAGGAATGTTGGACCAACAGACGTAGACGTTTTTAAGAATATTTTTCAGGGCCACCAGACCAACTAACGTGGATTTTTTAAGAATATTTCTCACGAACAATTTGGAATTCTTTTAGGGATATTATCAAATTCCAGCCTAACGTGAATTCTTTAATAAAAAACCAATATGGTTTTTCAAGAACAAGCGTTAATTTTTACTGAGTATTCTTTAAGGACTATCAGACCAACAAACGCGTTTTTTAAGACAATTTTTCGAAGAACAGATTTTCAATTTTAATAAATTTTTAAGGTTATATATGAACCATTAGATCAACAAACGCCTATTTTTGTGAATATTGGTATACCCTTAGATATGGCCGCCACGTTTTGGCCGTATCCAAGGGTATACCAAATCACCGAAATAAATGTTCTAGACACCAGATCTCTTTGGTTCAAACCCGTTTTACACATTTGGAGTCGATCTAGGGGTGTCCCTCTGTCTATCTGGCTGGTTAGAACGCAAGATAACTCTCTAAGGGAGTATCGGATTTGGCCCAAACTTGGTACATCGTAACATTATTATCAAATTTAGATTGAGTTCGGAAAAGGCAATATTGGCCCAGTCCTTCTGATATCTCTCCCACAAAAGGTCAAAAATTTCCACGATAATAATTTACCTTATAGAAAAAGAAAGGATCATCTGATTTTGTGCATATTTTGCAACTACCAATTTTTTTACCAGTGATTGGTCGAGTGCGATCTGGTGTGAAGATGGGAAAAATAGGACCACCGAAATAAATGTTCTAGACACCAGATCTCTTTGGTTCAAACCCGTTTTACACATTTGGAGTCGATTTAGGGGTGTCCCTCTGTCTATCTGGCTGGTTAGAACGCAAGATAACTCTCTAAGGGAGTATCGGATTTGGCCCAAACTTGGTACATCGTAACATTATTATCAAATTTAGATTGAGTTCGGAAAAGGCAATATTGGCCCAGTCCTTCTGATATCTCTCCCACAAAAGGTCAAAAATTTCCGCGAAAATAATTTACCTTATAGAAAAAGAAAGGATCATCTGATTTTGTGCATATTTTGCAACTACCAATATTACCAGTGATAGGTTAGTGCGATCTGGTGTGAAGATGGGAAAAATCGGACCACTCCTTCTGATACCTCCCCCACACTTGGTCTCTAATTTGTCTAATTTCAGTCGATATAGTTAAAATTGTATTATTTTTATTTGATTTAGGTCAGATAAAAAAATTTGCAATACTGACCCATACCTTCAGAACCTGTCGCATTAAGGATCAACCGTTTGAGAATCATAGCGCAAGTCGAAATATATTTAAACTAGCAAGTTCCCGCATTTTGTAAGCGAAAACTCCACCTTAAATTTGTTAATTTAGTACTTTTCGGAACAGTTATGGTACATATATCCAAAAGCACATCCATATCTCAATTCCAGATACCAACATAGACCTCAATATCAAAATTTAAGGATCGTAATATCAGATTTCAAGTCCTATCTGTTCACCCAATACCAAATTGTACCAAATATAGTACTATTTAGTACTTTCACTTTAATTACACATCTTAATTACACACCAAGCACCAATAGGAACCAAATACACAATTTCAAAATTACAACTTCATCCGTTCACCCTAAACTAAACCACTGCGCACACTTGGTACACACTTCCAAAACCACTTTCGTGTACTAAATTTATTTCCCAACCTTGATTCTCATACCTTGATTTTTAGCTCTATCCGTTTACATAATACCAAAGTTTGGTACCATTTTAGAATTTTTCGTGACCTTAAATTTGAAATTGAATTTTCAAAAACACACTTGTTAACTCTCCACTCTCCATTAGTGACTCTCATTCTCATCATTCCATTTGTTCAATACGAAGTATCAAATTTGAAGTACATTCTAGTACTTTTCGTACCTTTTTAGTACGCATTTCCAAAAAGCCAGCCCACGCACCTAGACAAACCCTTGTGTAAAATTTCAAGATTTTAGCTTTAGCCGTTTCGTCCAACTGTTAATTCTCACTCAGTCAGTTTTTACCCTACTGTTTTATAAATATAGATAAACGGACATTACCTGAGGGTATTTTTATACCCTACACCACATAGTGGTAAGGGTATTATGTCTTTATACATTTGTTTGTAACATGGAAAAGGGGGCGAGATAGGACCATAGTTACTTTTGTGGATCTTCATAGAATCACTTTCTGAGTCGATTTATGTTTGTGAACAACATGCAGGTCACTTTTATTATCCGCTAAAAAAAAATATAATAACATTTTTCAAACAACAATTGTTTGGCTCATGGACGAATCCTATTGAAATTGGTGAGAATCGGCTCAAATTTAGATATAGGTCCCATACCCATATAGGTCAACCCATAAATATCTTTCAACCAATGGCCAATATCAGTCCAAATGACCTGAATTTTGGCACATCCAACCGAACTCAGTCTAGAAGCAAGTACATAAAATTTGCTGAAAACCGGTTCAGATATAGCTATAGCTCCCATATATATGTTTCATCCGATTTAGTCTTTAAGTTTCTCACATTCATATTATGCATTCGACAACAATGATATTTGGTGCGGCATATCTTATAAAGCTCGGAAATACCTTTGCCAAATTTTATCGAGATCGGCTAAGTTTTGGATATAGCTCCCATATGTATCCTTAATCCGATTTCAGATTTATTGTGCAAATAATGGCTAATATCAGCCCAAATGGAGTGAATTTCGTGACGTACGTTCCCATTGAGTGTAACTCGGCTGCGATATTTGTTTTTTTTTTATATTTTATCATGCACTCTATAGCAATATTATTTGGTATAAAAGATAAAAATATCAAATCAATCCGTCAAATTTAGTGAAAATCGATTCAGAATTGGATATGCCTTCTATACATTAGTTCCCCCTGAAGCCAAATTATTACTACATTAAAGCCAAAGGTTGACAGGTTGTATGATCTACTTAAAATATTTTTTTTTTAAAGGAGATCTACTAAATATGCATAGTGGTGTAGGGTATCATATAATCGGCCCCGTCCGATTTTTGACTTTTCCATACTGGTTTACTTATTTTTTAAAAACATTCGGACCATAGATAGGATTTTTTAGAGTGTTTTTCAACTAACGTGGATTTTTTAAGAACAAAATTCTAGCCTATAAATGTCGATATTTTAAACAATATTTATAAAGTCAAATGCGGATTTCCTTTAAAAATATTTTTTTTAAGGACAAATTTCGATATTTTTTAAGAAAAAATTTCCAAGACCATCAGACTACCAAACGTTGTTTTTAGAAGGATATTAAATCTTCATATGGAATTTACAAATATTATTTACAAGTCGTTATTTGTTAATTGAATTTTACATTTAAACCCCGCTTAACCTTTCTGGGCGGTAACACATGTTTCCGACACAAAGAATCCCCGAATGGCCATACATCATAGAGTGGGAACGTTTTTACAACGGCAAATAATGAATGCATTTGCATGCACTCGATGCAATTAGCATCTGATTTATAACAAACTTGTATTGCAGACAGAAAACAACAACAACAAAATATTACAGCATATCATCCGATTTGAAAAAAAAAAAAATAAACGAGTATTTGAAGATCGTAAAGTATTCGATAAGTGGAGACAACATTTCTCCTCTGTCAAAATATATAATCGACATGACAGAGGAAGCCTCCTAACCTACCTCAAATCAGGCAGCAGCTCAGCAAAAAATTAAAAAAAAATCCAGAGGGCTGCGACGATGAATCAGAAAGCAAACAATAAAAATAAGTTTAAATTATGCAAAGCAAAAAATGAAGCGGGAACACGTGGTCTGATAAATTCATTCAAATTCTGAGGAAACTCGAACGATTTTTTGTTGTTCCTTTTTTTTTTTTTTTTGAATTGTAAACATTGCAAGTTGTAAGTGAAAATCGATATTTTTAAGGAAGTACTTCTGTGGCTAATTTTATTTTTTGTTTTTTTTTTTTTTTTTTGTTTTCAAAACCTCGCGATATTGAATTTGAGATTTTTTTGTTTTCTTCTCCTTGAAAAAGTGCCCTAAAAATATTGAGAAATAAATTTGGGTATAAATGATTGGCATTAATTGAAAATCAGAGCATTTTGTATTCGGAACATCGAACAGAGTGATACTAAAGAAAATTCAACAAAATAATGATTTCAAAAATAATTTTAATGTTTATGTGTTTGACGGCAAGCGCAACTCTGGCCCTGGATTGGTGCGATCCTGAACTCTGCCCGAATGGTGAAAAACATACAGCCTGCGGAAATAATGGAGTAAGTCAGATTGGATTTAAGTCGATTAGAAAATTTAAATTTATGTTACAAACCAGTAAAGAAAGTCCTAAAGTCCTATGATACCCTACACCACTTTGCTAATTTAGTTGAGCTCCACATAACAATTAAAAATTTTATGGGAGAATTCAATCATACACGCTAGGATTATAATTATAATTTAAAGTTCAAAGGCTAAATATGCCGAAGCATTTGTATCTTTTAAATTCGGACTTGTATTGCCCATTTGGTGCAAAATTAATTTGAAATCAGATAAAGATATATATGGGAGCTATATCTAAATCTGAACCGATCTTGATCAAATTTGGCAAAGATATTTCTGAGCTGTGTTTGATATATTTCCCTGAATATCGTTGTTACGGAGTGCATATTACGGCTGTGGGTAACAAATACAATAAATCGGATGAACAATATATATGGGAGCTATAACTATATCTGAACCGATCTTCACCAAATTTGGCATACTACCTTCTAGACTAAATTCGGCCGTATGTGCCAAATTCCATCCCATTTGGACAAATATTAGACGTTTGGTGCACAAGAAATGGTAAATCGGACGAAGTTATATATGGGAGCTATATCCAAATCTGATCCGATCTGGATAAAATTCAGCAAAGGTATTTCTGAGCTGCATTTGATATATTTCCCCAAATATTGCTGTTACAGAGTGCATATTACGGCTGCGGAGGACAAAAATAACAAATCGGATGAACAATATATATGGGAGCTATAGCTATATCTGAACCGATTTCCATAAAATTTGGCATACTTATTTTCAGGCCTAATTTGGTTGTATGTGCAAAATTCCATAATATTCGGGCTGATATTACACGTTTGGTGCACAATAAAAGGCAAATCGGACGAAATTTGTACCGATTATCTCTTCAATTTCAATAGGGTTCGTCCTTGGGCCAAACAAATGTTGTTTGCAAAATTTCATCTCAATCGGATAATAAATGCGACCTGCATTTTGTTCACAAGAATACATGGGTAGACGGACGGACGGACAGACGGACTGACATGCATAAATCAACTCAGAAAGTGTTTCTATGCAGATCATCAAAAGGAACTATGGGTCTATCTCGTTTCCTTTTGCCTGTTACAAACAAATGCACAAAGACATAATACCCTGACCACCTTGTGGTGTAGGGTATAAAAATCGAGATATCGGTCCGCTCCATCAAGTACCTCCCCACAAAGCGTCAAAATTTTGAATATCCATGAAGCTCATAAAACGCTACCATTCTGACTTGGCACATCTCAATATTCCTATCAACACAAGATCTGTTATAAAGATGGTAGAGATCGGACCATTCCTTCTGGTACCTCCCCCACAAAGAATCAAAGTTTTGAATAACCAAAACGATCATAAAATCCAAAATATGCATCCGGTTCTTGTCGTTGTGATTTGAATGTGAAAATGGGATATATTAGCCCACGCTTTCTGGTATCTCCCCCACAAAGGGTTCAAGATTTTAAAATACAAAAGGCTCATAAAAGCGAAATAAGCATCCAACTCTCTTCAAATTTCACACATACAAACATTTTTGTTAACACAAGATCACAAAGGGTCTAAAAATTATCACATATCTCATACAAAATGAAGGAAGTCGATATAGTCCAATCCTGGCACGGCGGAATATTTATATCATATTTATTTAGGTCCGATACGAAATGGACAATATTGTCACATTCCTTGGGAACCTACTCCACAGAGGGCCGACAGTTTAAATAATCACAAGAGAAATCAAAATATACTTAAATAATCAAACATTGGCGGGGGTATACATCTGTCGGCAACACCGACTGATACTCTTTAACTTGTTTTTTTATACCCTACACCACATAGTGGTGGTCCGTCCATGTATTCTTGTGAACAAAATGCAGGTCGCTTTTATTATCCGATTGAGAAGAAATTTTCCAAACAATTTTGTTTGGCCCAAGGATGAACACCATTGGAATTGGTGAGAATCGGGTTAAAATACGATATAGCTCCCATATATATCTTCAGCCGATCAGTCCAAATGGCCTGAATTGCGGCACACCTGACGGAATTCAGTCTAGAAGCAAGTACATTAAATTTGGTAAAAAGCGGTTCAGATATAGCAATAGGTCCCATATACAGGGTGAGATAAAAAAGCAGCAACAGAGTCAAACGCCATAATTTTTACATTTTTTTAAATTTTGTTGAATTAAAGCAACAGATGTCGGGAATAGCAACAAATTTTAGAATAAGTTTAGATTTGTTCGAATTGGTCACCTTTGACACGAATTATGGCCTTCAAACGGTCACACGCTACCCGAATGTTGCTCTGTGTTATTTTGGCCCATTCCCGGTGAAGCGCTGGCTTGAGGTAATCGACGCCTTGGTATTTTTTAGTGCCAACCTTGCCTTCCAAAATACTCCAGGCACAATCCAACGGATTGGTATCCGGAGATTCTGGTGGCCATTGTGCGCTGGAAATAAAGCGAGGAACCTGATTTTGTAACTATTCTTTGGTGGCGCGTGCTGAGTGCGATGGTGCTGAGTCCTATTGGAATGTCCAAGGTCTGCTTTCAAAATGTTTGAGTGCCCAAGGCTTTAATACACCCGCAAGAATATTTACGCGATAATATTTGGCATTTTTGCTGATGCCATGGTCGATTAATACGAGCGTAGAGCGACCATCGGCTGTTATGGCTGCCCACACCTTCACCATGGCCGGCGCTTGAGTTCTGGTGGCCAACCGAAGGTGCACCTTTTTAGCTGACCTCTTTGGCAAGTAAACACGATCATTTTGTTTGTTTACAAGCTGCTGGACAACGAAGGTTTTCTCATCGAAGAAAACCAAATTCGGCAGTTCACCACTTTCGGCCAAGCGAAGGAACTTTTTAGCACTTTTGAGTCTACCCTCTTTATTTGCGGGATAAGTTCTTGCTTTTTTTTGGAATTTCAATGGTTTTTTTTTCAACATTTGTCGAATGGAATAATGCGTTATGTTCAGCTCACGAGCGATTATTCGGGTTTCGATCAAGTCACTTCTTTATTTGTCGAACCATTTCTGCTAATGTGGCTGTTTTCTTCTGTCCACTTCATTGACGTCGGGCTACGCTACCAGTATCACGGTAACGAGCGATGGTGCGAGACTCAAAAGATTTATTCACATTTAAATGCTGGAGTGCTCTAACGATAACCACTTGAGGTTTTCCGACCAAATATAAAGAAATCACACTATCACGCTTGAACGCCATCAAGAATAATTTTTTTTCCGGAAAATTCTCACCAAAAGTCTTTTGTATGCTTGTAAACAATTAAATGAGCTGTCACTGGAATATTTTTAACAGCTGTCTGAAGTTGGTTGTAGTTTTTTCATCTCACCCTGCATAAGTCGCAATTATAGTCCGATCCTCGCGAAATTTTGCATGGGGGTAGGGTTAGGGTCGGAATTAAAATCTATTGTTTTTGAAGATGTACATTAAAGGGTTTAAACGGACCAAAAAAATTTTTGTCTTCCTGATTTTGCAGTCGCTCTAAAGGTCAGAGCAAAAAGAGCAAATATCATGAAATTTTATATGGGAATCTAAGTTTGAAGGTATGCCTAATATAAGGGGATATTTTTGGAGATGGTACTAAATTTGGTGCAATATGGCATATTGAAATTAAGTAAAAGAAATCGTTATTACCCTCCACCTAGAGCCATTTACCGAACTTAACTTATTTTTGACACTTAATGTTTTTCCAGGCTTTCCACAAAAGATGTGGATCCGATGTTAAGGTCATCGACTTGCGCCCCTATCGCCAACTGATTCTAGACGAACACAATAAACGAAGGAATTTCATTGCTCTCGGCCTATTGCCGGGCTATTATCCAGCAGAACGCATGGCCACGCTCCAGTGGGATGACGAATTGCAATTCGTAGCCGATCTGAATGCCCGAACATGTATTGTCGATCATGATGATTGCCGTAACACCTATCGTTTTCGAAATGCGGGACAAAATTTGGTGGGAATTGCTCGGCACAAGGGTGATGTACAGAACATAACCGAAATTCTCTTGGAGGATATCTGGTTGTGGTACACCGAATTCAAAGTGATTGATAGCAGTTATATAACCAAGTTTAGAACTACCAGAAATTTGTGAGTATTCTCGGAGAATTATTGCGTATTCATTTCGATATTGAATTGATAATTCTCTTCCGTTTTAGTGAAAAATATGGCCACTTTGCCCAGTTTGTTTTGGATCGCAACACCCATGTCGGTTGTTCCATGGTACGCTTCACTCATGCCGAATATAAATTCCTCTACAAATATCATTTATCCTGCAACTATGCCAGCGTCTATGCTCTGGAGGTGCCCGTGTATGCAGCCGGAAAACCGGCTTCAGGCTGTCAAACTGGTCCCAATCCCAAATATCCAGGTCTGTGTTCAACAAAGGAGGCATTTAATCCCAATTTTTAATGGACCTGGTCAGTGTGTTCCAGTTGTTGTTTTTTTTTTTTTTTGCTTTCGCTTTTGTTAAATATAGTGCCATTATTGTTATTTTTATTGTTGTTGTAAATTACATTAATTTATCGCAATTACCGTCCACCCAATTACCCTTTTTCGGGAAATACCAAAACCAAACGCAAAAAAAAATAAATGTCTATATTATTCAAGAAATTCAAAAAATTTTCATTACTTACCTCGTTTTGATTGAAATTTGTTGTCATTGTTGTTGCCATGATTCTGTGTCATTATCCAGATTTGATTTATCAAATTCCGGTTCTGATTTCAAACCGGGAACTGAATTTTTTGTTTCCGTCATTTGTTTTGGCACTTGGTCAAAATTTGGATTTCTGGTTTAAAAAAAAATTGGAATATATTGTTGGGAATGTTGTTGTTTTGGTTTTACACTAGTCAACAATATTTTTGAATTATTTTATTTTTTTTGGCTACTTGGAACATTTTTTAATCTTCCATTCCACATCGATTGGAAAACCACCATGTCATGTAATTTTTTAGGATACATGACATTTACATATCTACATTGATTAAGTGGTATGGCTTATGCTTTGTTTCGGATTACGGCCACTTCCTTTATCCTCCGCCCCTCCCCTTCCCTTCCAACCAGAATAAACAATAATCTATGAAATATATAAATATCGCAAATGTGGTATTACTTCCCAGCCAATGGGTATCGATAACAATCAGGCAACAATCATGACCTGTCCAAAATGCCAATAAATGCAACAATGTATTGGAGCAGTTAGAAATGGCATAGATGGCTCAAAAGAGCACTACAAGACCTATTGCAGGTCGACTTTAAAGATTTTCTATCCATAGTGTAGCCATCAAAGTTGCTCTCTCTCTCTCTGTAGAAGAGCTGATGAAGCCTCATTGTCTGCAGAGGAGTCGTTAAAGCTCCTCTGTCTATAGAGGAGCTGTAGAAGCTCCTCTTTCTATAGAGGAGCTGTAGAAGCTCCTCTTTCTATAGAGGAGCTGTACAAGCTCCTCTGTCTATAGAGGAGCTGTACAAGCTCCTCTGTCTATAGAGTAGCTGTACAAGCTCCTCTGTCTATAGAGGAGCTGTACAAGCTCCTCTGTCTATAGAGGAGCTGTACAAGCTCCTCTGTCTATAGAGGAGCTGTACAAGCTCCTCTGTCTATAGAGGAGCTGTAGAAGCTCATCTGTCTATGGAGCAGCTGCAGAAGCTCCTCTGTCAATGGATCAGCTGAAGAAGCTCCTCTGTCTATAGAGCAGCTGCAGAAGCTCCTCTGTCTATAGAGGACCTGCAGAAGCTCCTCTGTCTATAGAGGACCTGCAGAAGCTCCTCTGTCTATAGAGGACCTGTAGAAGCTCTTCTGTCTATAGAGGAGCTGCAGAAGCTCCTCTGTCTATAGAGGAGCTGCAGAAGCTCCTCTGTCTATAGAGGAGCTGCAGAAGCTCCTCTGTCTATGGAGGAGCTGCAGAAGCTCCTCTGTCTATAGAGGAGCTGCAGAAGCTCCTCTGTCTATAGAGGAGCTGCAGAAGCTCCTCTGTCTATAGAGGAGCTGCAGAAGCTCCTCTGTCTATAGAGGAGCTGCAGAAGCTTCTCAGTCTATAGAGGAGCTGCAGAAGCTCCTCTGTCTATAGAGGAGCTGCCGAAGCTCCTCTGTCTATAGGGGAGCTGCAGAAGCTCTTCTGTATTTAGTGGAGCTGCAGAAGCTCCCCTGTCTTTAGAGGAGCTGTAGAAGCTCCCCTATCTTTAGAGAAGCTGTAGAAGCTCCCCTGTCTTTAGAGGAGCTGTAGAAGCTCCCCTGTCTTTAGAGGAGCTGTAGAAGCTCCCCTGTCTTTAGAGGAGCTGTAGAAGCTCTTCTTTCTATAGAGAAGTTGTAAACGCTATTTTTCCCTGTAGAGGAGTAGTTGAAGCTCCTCTTTCTTTAGCAGAGCACTTAAAGCTACTCTGTCCCATCCAATTGTCATCTCCGATCACCAAAACCTTTCTGAACCCAAGATACCACCTCAATAACAATAAAAGTCACATGGAGAGAGAATGAAAAACAAAAAAAAATCCGAAAGCTTGTCAAAGACATTATTAAGATTTCATTTGCAGTTGACGAACCGGATTGACAACAAAAAATTGTCATAGATATTTTGTGCTAGACAAAGTGTCTTAGTTTTCAGCCACAATTGCAAGCCAAAGTCAAGCGAAGAATTGGAGAGGCAGGCAAGCAGACTGTTCGTCTGGTAGATTTCTGTGGGCTCAATTAAACCTTTGATGGGAATTGGGGTGGAATGTAAAGATCTTGGATTTCAATAATGTTTTTAATTTGAAATAAAATGTTAACCTCTTTTTTCCAAGAGAACTGGAGAAAATCGTATTGATTGAAACTTTTTGAAACTGATTTATCAAATGTTTCCCCATATTCTGAACCCCTTGAATATCCTTTAATTATAAAATGTATTTTATTAACTTTCCCCGACCAACCCTATTGCCTCTCTCTTGACATGTTCCAGAATTCCACAACTGCAGCTGCATTTGGTGTTGCAGGCAAAAAACGAAACAACCGCAATTGTTGGATGCTACATTTCTTCTCTACATGGATCACATTACTCCCGGGTTGGTGTTCAAGAAACAAACAAACCATTGGTAACATTCATCGATAGAAATTGTATCATTTTCTACTCCCCTCCCCGTCAAACCTTTTCGTCAAAGGTGCAAAGCAACAGCCTCAGCGTATGGTAACGTCAAACTGTCTATGCAATCCAAAGTAACTTTGCCGATGTCAGGCGTGTTGCGTTGTGGTCTCGTTATTGGATACACAACGACACCAAACAGCTGGTTTAGCAAGAAACAGTGGCGTGAATACAATAATCAATGATAGTTATTAAAAGATTTTGGTTTAAGGTCTTCCTGAGTTCTTCTCCTATGAAGAGAATACCTTTCAATGACCCTTTATGGTCATCCTGAGTTCTTCTTCTATGGAGAGAATACCTTTCAATGACAGAAAAAAAACCTTTTCAAGACCTTTCAAATATAAAAAGAAACCTCTGAAACATCCCTCATACATGGATGTCCTTTCGGGTCTACAACACAAAAAGATCTCCACTCAAAATCTTCTGCATTCAGGAAGCTTTCTACACGTTCAGAAACCGTTCAAAAATCTTTTACGTTTAGGAGAGTTTTCAAAAGCCTTCTACACAAAGAGGACCGTCCATAGATGAGCTTCCAAAGGTTTTCTATACATAGGATAACTTTGAAAACTTCTCTATATCTGGAAGAGCTTTTAGAGGTATTCTACACATAAAATAACTTTTAGAAGTTGCCTAAAATTAGATCGATCTTTCAGTTTAAAAACCTTCAGAGCTCTCCAACAAATAATATAACTTTCAGATGCTTGATGGAACACATGACCTTACAGCTGTATTCTATATATGGAAAACCTTACACAAGTCTTCCGACCATAACAGACTTTTCACAGGTCTTTTACACATAGATAACCTATCAGAAGTTTTCACAGACTTCATGAAGGTCGTTCAAAAGATTTCAATATATATGAGAGCTTTCAGAGGACTTGTCAAATTGAAGATTTTTTTGAAGAAGCCTTTCAATGCATAGTCGAGCTTAAAGAGGCTTTCTGCACATAGAAGAGCTCATATAGGTCTTCTACACTTAAAAGAGCTTTGGGAGGGTTTATATACATAAAACACAATTTTCACGCTATTGGTAAATAGAACACATTTCAGAGGTCTTCTAAACATATAAAATATATTCTAAACATATAAAAATTCTCCCAGATATCTTCTAAACATTGAAGAGCTTTCGAGAGGTCTTCTACTCTTAGAAGACGTTTAATCTGACCTTTAGACATTTATGGTCTGTCAAAGGTTTCCTTTACACATAAAGGTTCTTTTTGAAATAGAAAAGCTTTCAAAAGTCTTCAGCACATAGAAAAGCTTTCATAGATACTTTACACATAAAAGACGTTTGAGAGGCCTCAAATGTTTAGCAGACTTTATACGTTAATCTGACCTTTAGACATTTATGGCCTGTCAAAGGTTTCCTTTACACATAAAGGTTCTTTTAGACATAGAAAAGCTTTCAAAAGTCTTCAGCACATACAAAAGCTTTCATAGATACTTTACACATAAAAGACGTTCGAGAGGCCTCAAATTTTTAGAAGACTTACACCGTTCAAATATCATCAATACATAGACATTTAAATAGTTGCCAACATATTGAAGACCTTTCTAAGGTCATCTACACATGAAAGAGTTTTCACAGATCTTTCACACATAGAATCGCTTACAGAGGAGCTTTCAAAGCTTTTAAAGATCTTCTTCTCATATACGACCTTTCAGATGACATTAAAGACATACAACACTTTCAAAGATCGCCATTCAAAAGATCTTCGACATACAAAGAAGCTATTAAAAGTCTTCGACACATAGAAAAGCTTTAATCGATTTTTTACACAAAAAATACCTTTCAGAGGTCACCGTAGATATCAGATGATAAAATAACTTCCAAAATAATCTGGAGTAAAGTTTTACGTACAAAAATGATACAAAACGTACTACATTGTACTGTACATTAATATAAAAGGGCGCGGGTGGATCCAAAAGTCTGAAATTTGGTATGAGAGCCGATCTTGGCCTGCATGGTTAAGGTAAAATTGTTTTTAATAAGATTCGCACATTAAAAAAAAAGTACTGAAAGGCAGAACGATTTGTGAACTAAACACATTTCTATAGTGTCATTTAATGTAGGGTACAATGAAAACAATGAGTAGACCTAGAATTTTGAAATTTTATAAAAATCTCTCTTGGCGTTCAGATTTAAGGTAAAATTATGTTTTTGGACCTTAGTACTAGGAAGGTACAAAATGTACCAAAAGGTACCAAGTATCATAGCATTAGTGTAGATCGATCGAAGAGTTTGAGTTCTGCACAAAATGTTTTTTTTTTTTTTTGGTGGACTGTACTAAAATGGCCTAAGAGGTGCTGTTGTATCGTAAAAGACCTGGAATTCAGAAATTTCTGAGAGTGCAAAGTTACCATCTAACTGAGATTTTTGAAGATTCGTAATTAATAACAAGTTAAAAAGCAGTAAGTTCGG